AGCAGGGAGCCCGATGCGGGACTCGATCCCGGGACTCCAGGATCATGACCTGAGCCGAAGGCAGTCACTTAACCAACTGAGCCACCCAGGCGCCCCCAGGCAAACTCTTAACCAAGTCCAGCTGCCGTGCCAGCTCAGGGCCTGGAGCTGGTAGGCTCTCCGCAAATGACCACCATGATTTCTGCCATTGTCATTACTGCTTTCATGCTCCCTGCCCTGCCTTCCCCCATTGCTGGTCCTTTGTTCCTTTTTGCTCCCCCACCTCTGTGTGCAGACCTCTGCCCTACTGCTCTTCGCACCTTCTTTTAATGACTGGTTTGGTACAGTGGGGGCCTACGGAATGGGCTGGGGCTGGTTTCTTCATCCCATCCTGCACCCAGCCCAGGGAAGCACACCTTAGGGGCTATGAATGTTTGGAGGAATGAATGATTGAATGAATGAATGAACAGGGCAGTGGAGGAGGTAACTGTGAGATGGCGTCCAAGCTAGAAGACAGGGACAGAGCTCCCTTCATAAGCAGTGGCTCTTCTGGGGTTGGGCCTGTGGGTTGGGTGTAGCAGAGACTTCGTCTGTAGGAGTTGGAATCAGACTGCCCAGGGCTAATTCCCAGCTCTCACTCACAACTGGGTGACCTTGGCCATTACTTAGCTCTGGGGTTCCATTCTGTCATCTGTAAGTTAGGGGTGATAAGTACAACCTGCCCAGAGTTGTTTAAGAAGTGAAGGAGAAAACGTCTGCCAAGTGGTTGGAACTTTGCCTGGCATGCCAGATAGCGAGCGAGTGCTCCATGGCTGTCATCTCTGATTCCTTATGGACCTTGGGTGGGGCAACCTGGAGTCTTCAGAAGGACCTTCGGTTGGGCATGGAAGTTACTGTAGGGAGGAGGACACGCGGCGGGGGGGGGGAGGGGGGGCGGTTCCCAACAAGCCCACAGAGGTGCCTGACATGCGGGTCTCCTGCCCCGCAGGTTATGCAGCCCCCTACCTGACAGTGTTCAGCGAGAACTCCATCGATGTGTTTGATGTAAGGAAAGCAGAATGGGTCCAGACGGTGCCACTCAGGAAGGTGAGGGCCTGCCCAGACCCCGGGCCCTGCACCGGGGTGCAGTCGGGGAGCACGGCTGACCTCTGTGCCTGCTGCCTCAGGTGCGACCCCTAAACCCGGAGGGCTCCCTGTTCCTCTTTGGCACGGAGAAGGTCCGCCTGACCTACCTCAGGAACCGGCTGGCAGGTGAGGACGTGCGTGTGCAAGCGAGTACGGAGTGTGTGCGTTCACGTGTGGATGTGTGACCCTGAGCTCCAGCGGACGGGCCCTGGGGACTTCGGAGCACCGTCCGGCTCTCTGCTGCTCCCACAGAGAAGGACGAGTTCGACATCCCCGACCTCACTGACAACAGCCTACGCCAGCTGTTCCGCACCAAGAGCAAGCGCCACTTCTTCTTCCGCGTGTCTGAGGAGCAGCGGCAGCAGCGGCGCAGGTGCGCGTGCGCGATGCGGCAGCTGGGCGGGGCCTCCCAGGCTTGGGGGCGGGGGCGTTTCGGGAGGGGGCCGAGGAGGTGTCTTGCGCCGCCCCTCCCCCCATATTCCCTCCACCCGCAGGGAGATGCTGAAGGACCCCTTTGTGCGCTCCAAGCTCATCTCACCGCCCACCAACTTCAACCACCTGGTGCACGTGGGCCCCACGGACGGGAAGCCCAGCGCCAGGGACCTGCCCCGGGTGAGTTCTCCGGGGCCAATCACAAGCCTCCCTAGTGAGGCTCAGCCAATCACCGGTGTTCCTGACGCGCTTGAGCCGATCGCAGCCCTCTGCTTACCTCGGACCCGGGACCCCAGCACGTCCAGGCTGGGGGCCCCACTGCGGTTCATTTGCCCTGGGATGGTGCGCCGCCCGGTCCCAGCCCTTCTGCATTGTCCCCCAACAGGCTCCAGAAGGGAAGGGCCGAGGTACCCGCGGCTCCGGCCCCCAGCGTCCGCATAGCTTCTCGGAGGCTTCGCGCCGCCCAGCCTCTGTGGGCAGCGACGGGCTCGCTGGAGACGCGGACGCCAGTAAGGACAACCCCGCTGCTTCCACTGCCTCCAAGTCCCTCCCCAAAGTTTCCACCCCCTTTGGGCCCCTCATATTTAACCTTGGATTTTTGTGTCTCCCTCCCCTCCCCCCCATCCTGCTCCTGGAGCAGTGAAGAGGAAGCCTTGGACATCTCTGTCCAGCGAGTCCGTGTCCTGCCCCCAGGGATCTCTGAGCCCCGCAGACTCCCTGATACAGGTGAGCTGATGGGGGTTTTCCCCTCCCGTGTAAAAGCACAGGTAGTTCTGTTCTGTGCTAGACCCTGTGCTGGGACCTGAAGCCAGAGAACAAGCTGGGCCCATCCCTGCCCTGGATCCTAAGAGAAGCAGACTTGTCCCCACAGTGGGCCCCAACAGAGGCCTGGAGGCAGGTCGGCCTAGGTGGGAATCTTGGCTCTGACTGTCCCAGGAGTGTGGCCCTGGGCGAGATGTCCAGCTTCTTTCACTTATAAATAAGGTTATTATTTGAGATTATTCTAGAAGTGGTAACCGTATGAGGTGATGATGACTTCAGCAGGGTACCTGACACATGGGGAGAGTGCCACAGAAGAGCAACTCTTTAGAGGCCCAACCTGAGGTGGAAGGATCAGAGGAGAGTCCACTCTGGCTGGGGACGGGGAAGACATAAGAGGAGCTGGGAAGGCTCCCATTCACCCTCAGGCCACTTCTCCATTGCCATCCCCAGTGGAGCCGCACCAGGCCACTCAGAGCCCTGGGACTTGCCATATTCTTTCACACCTTCAGGCTCTTGCCCCTGACGTCCCCCCTGCTTTGAATGCCCTTTCATTAACATCCAGGCCACCTTCAAAGCTCTGCACTAATATCACCTTTTCCAAAGATCACCTGGTTGCCTGGCAGCCACCAGCCTCCCTAGGGCCCGTGCCCTTCCCTCCACCCCTCCTTGTCAGTCCTTCTGTGCTATGGTCTTCCTCCGATGCCAGTCCTCCTCCCTCAACTGTGGGCTCCCTGATAGCGAGGGTCAAGTTTGTCTTCTGCCTGCCTAGAGTAAAGCGTGTCTGTTGATCGAGGAAGAATAGAGTAAATGAACAAAGGGACTTTGATTTGGGCTCCAGGGTTGAGTAGGAGTTCCCAGGGTTTTTCATCTATAGCCCCACCCCCACCTCACATCTGGCCTCCTCCAAGGGCCTGGATGCAGGAGGTGATGGGTCCTGGGAAGGCCTCTGGGGGGCACTGGTCTGGTAAGGAAAGAGTCCTTCCTTCTGTTTCCCCTCCAGGTGTCAGAACGGCCCCGGAGCCTCCCCCCAGCCCCTGAGTCAGAGGGGTCCCCTTGACACCCTCTGGCAGCGCCCACCCCGATCCCAGGACCGAGAGACAGAAACGAGCAAAGAGCTTGAGGAATGCCATGCTCCGGCTGGCCCGGGATGTGTGGAAATTCGGACTCAGGGAGGGCCTGGGTTGGAGAGCGACTCGGAGGCTGGTCTGGGTACCCAGGACCTGGGGGCCCTGACTCCCAGCCCTTATCCTGCCTTTCCCCTCTGCTCCCAGCCCCTATCTGTGCTAGCTACTGGGAATAGAATGGCCCCCTTTCTGCGCTGGGGGCCCATCTGCCCTGGAGTCCAAGGGCGATTGTGCCAAAGCTCTCCTTTCCCGTGCCAAGCCTCAGAAGGCCTGCAAGCAAGAGTTGGGATGAGGGATGGAGAAGGACTGGGTCCCTGGGAACAATGTGGGGTCTCTTGGCTGTGGACTGTGTATAGCCTCTAGGTGAGGCCAAGTTGGGGCATATCGCGGTCTCTGCTCAGGGTCAAGGTAGGAAAGACAGAGTCTGATCCAAAGGAAAGGAGAATGGGGCACCTGGCTGGCTCAGTCAGTAGAGCATGTGACTCTTGATCTCAGGGTTGTGAGTTCAAGCCCCACGTTGGGTGTAGAGATTACTTAAAAAATAAAAAATATGTATATTTTTTTTTCAAAGGAAAGGAGGATAGACAAGGAGCAGGGAAGCTGTAAGTGAAGGAGGATGTGGGTGAAGGAAGTAGGAGAGGGAAGGGGAAGGAAAAGGAGTGGAAGAGGCAGGAGGGAAGAGGCATCCAGAGGAGGAGAGGGATAAAGGAGGAGCAGTGAAGAGGAGCAGAGAGCCGAGGGGGGCCGGGAGGAGAGCACTACTGATAGGGGCCTTTCTCTCTGGGGAGGAGCTTGGCAGGGTTGGGAACAGAGAGGGGCCCTGAGAACCAACTGACCTTGCATCTAATCCGCCCAGGGGGGAGATCATTCCTAGACAGGGACGGGATGGGGAGGGTATTTATAAAGGCTACTTGGTGGGAAATGGCACCTGATGGGGGCTGCTGGAGGGTCTCCAGGCACACTCTGGCCCCTCCCAGAAAGGGGGATGGTCCTTTTTCTCAAAGCTTCAACCACCTGTGTATTAGGGGATCATAGGGGGCGTTTTATTATTGGTCATAGTCATTATTATTGTTATTATATTACTATTTTTATTAAACTTTCCTCTACTGACAAGTTGGGGGCAAAATAAGTATTTATCTCTTCAAATGCCATATTCCCAGGAGGGATTGACCCTGATGCTCTGTGAGGCAGTAAGAAACCAATAAAGATGACTTTTTAAGCTGCTGGCCTCCCTGCCTGGATCTGTCCTCCTGGGGCTCAGAAAATGGGGGGGCGGAGACCAGAGATGGAGGGAGGAACAGGGATGTCAGGGACAGTTACAGACTGAGTTGTCTCCCCCATACTTTCAGGAATCATATGACACATGCAAATGGGGGTGAGGACAGTTCAACAGCAAAGGGACGGTTTACAAAAGTGTGGGCAGTGGTCCTAGAGCCCACCAAGGAGAGACGGTGCTCCTGAGCCCTAGCGGGTGGGAAGCTGTTAGCCCCCACAGGCAGGAAGAGGCAGTGGTGGCCCCTGACAGTCGCTGTGGCTCTCAGTAGGATTTGGCTGTGGTTGAGCAGAAAGGCAGCCAGCCCAGGAATAAATTCCTCATACCTCCCTCAACTCCCTCCCTCCACCTCCTGCCTCCCTTCGTCCAAACACAAGCAGCAGCCAAAGGACACTAGAGCCTGGTCACTGCAGCTCTGGGAACAGCGGGAACAGCGCAGCCTTGGGGGCACCGAGCTGGGTGGAGCAAGGTAGAACGGGATCTGTAGGGCACACTCAGGTGCCAGCACTCCAGGCTGGTAGGCGTGGGAGGACCCTCACTGGTTCTTAGCTCAAGCGTCCCTGACTGAGCAGGACCCAAGAGCTGCATGAGGAAGGAGGGTACAGCCTGTGACTCTGGGATCAGGGCAGGCCTGGGGAGCTGAGGGCTGTGCCCTGAGACTCATGGCCAGCCCTAAACTGGGGAAAGTACCAAGAAGGGGCCCCAGTGTCACATCTGCTTGGGGATGGGAGTTGGAGGGTGCCCAGGGAATTCCAGCCTTGAGAGTCACACAACCTGAATTCTAGTCTAGCTGTGCAGTCATGAACAAGTTATCTGACCTCTCTAAGCCTCCGTTTTCTCATCTGTAAATGCGGGATCCTAAAACCCACTTCACGGGAGGTTCTGGCGAGAGGCGAGACTTTGGTGCACTGAGTGTAAAATGCCTTCAGCCCACTCTGGAAATGTTTGCTTCTGCCCACTGAGATGCAGAACCCCAGAGAGGGGGCAGGGACGCCAAGACCTCTTGCAAGCTAAGGCCCGCAGCCATCCTCTCCAAATTGGGGAAATGCTGCTTCCCAGACACCCAGCAATGATTTATCCAAAAGATTTCCACATTTTTAAAAAATTAATTTTCTCCCAGGGCACCTCCTCAGGCTCCTTGCTCAGCGGGGAGCCTGCTTCTCCCACTGCCTGCCCCTCCCCCTCCTTGTGCTCTCTCACTCTCTCTCTCTGGCAAAAAAAAAAGAATAAGGAGCCACCAGAAGTTACTGTTACTGTCTCAAGAGATTTAACACTGATACAACAATATGATCTAGGGGTGCCTGGGTGGCTCAGTCGGTTAAGCATCTGCCTTCGGCTCAGGTCATGATCCCAGGGTCCTGGGATCGAGCCCCGCATCGGGCTCCCTGTTTGGCGGGAAGCCTGCTTCTCCTTCTCCCTCTCCCACTCCCCCTGCTTGTGTTCCCTCTCTTGCTGTGTCTCTCTCTGTCAAATAAATCAATAAAAATCTTTAAAAAAAAAAAAACAATATTATCTAATGACAATCTTTTATGGGATATACTGTGATCCCCCCAAATTTGTTTGTTGAAGTCCTAACCCCAAATAGCTCAGTACATAACCTTACTAAGAAAGAGAACCATTGCAGAAATAGTTAGTTAAAATGAGTTCATTAAGGTAGGCCCTGATCCAATATGACCGGTTCCTTTTACAAAGGGGAAACTTGGGGGCGCCTGGCTGGCTCAGTCAATAGAACGTGTGATTCTTGATCTTGGGCTCGTGAGTTCATGCCTCACACTGGGGTTAGAGTTTACTTTAAAAACTTTTTTTTTTTTTAAGATTTTATTTATTTGAGAGACAGAGTACAAACAGGGAGGGGCAGAGGGACAAGCAGACTCTGTGCTGAGTTCGGAGCCTGACGCGGGGCTCGATCCCAGGACCCTGAGATCAGGGCCCGAGCCAAAGTCAGACGCTTAACCAACTGAGCCACCCAGGCACCCGCCCCCCCAATTTTTTTTAATTAAAGAAGGGGGAAACTTGGACGCAGAGACACACACATGGGGAGAAGACCATGTGAAGCTTTAGGCAGAGATCGGGGTGATGCTTCTACAAGCCATGGACCGCCAAAGATTGTCAGCAAACCCCCAGCAGCTGGGGAGAGGTCTGGACCAGGTTCTTCCTCATGGCCTCAGAGGGAATCAGTCCCACTGACACCCTGACCTCAGCCTTCCAAATGCCAGATGGGGAGACAAGACATTTCAATTTTTTTCTGTTGTTTAAGCTGCCCAGTTCATGGTACAACTGTGTCCAAAATGTTCTTTATACCATTTTTAAAAAATCGGGTATCTAGGGGCGCCTGGGTGGCTCAGTCGTTGCGCGTCTGCCTTCGGCTCGGGTCATGATCCCGGGGTCCTGGGATCGAGCCCCGCGTCGGGCTCCCTGCTCTGCGGGAAGCCTGCTTCTCCCTCTCCCACTCCCCCTGCTTGTGTTCCCTCTCTCGCTGTGTCTCTCTCTGTCAAATAAATAAATAAAATCTTTAAAAAAAAAAAATCGGGTATCTAATTATGGATCAAACTTTGCATTTGGTCTAGGCTCTCTAGTCTCCATTAACCTGGAGCAATTCTATTGGCCTCCCGTTTTTGTTGTCTCCGTGATATTAACATTTTTTAAGGGTCCAGGCCTGTTATTTTGTTGAATGGACTGCAATTTACATTTTTCTGATGGTTTCCCCAATAACTTTTTTGTCAAGAATATTATGTAGCTGGGGCACCTGGGTGGCTCAGTTGGTAATTATCTGCCTTGGGCTCAGGTCATGATCTCAGGGTCCTGGGATGGGGCCCCACAGTGGGCTCCCTGCTCAGTAGGGAGTCTACTTCTCCTCTCTCTCTGCACCCCACTACCTCTGCTCATGTGTGCATGCTCGGTCTCTCTCTCAAATAAATAAATAAAATCTTTTCTTTTGGTCTTTTTTCCCTATTGTTTATTTATTTGAGAGGGAGAAAGAGAGAGAGCAGAGTGAACGAGAACTTGAGTAGGGGGGAGAGGCAATTAGAGGAGAGGTAAATTAGAGGGTGAATTCCCCTGTGACTCTCTTCCCTCCCCCCATAAGATGAGTTTATGTCTATGTGTTGCCATATAAGCCAGACATCGAGGGACCACCCTCCCGCAGCCTCCTTGCTTCCATCAGCGGAAATCAAGTCAGAGCTTCAAGGCCTTCCCTACTCTTGGCAGGTTCCCTCACCCTCAGCTTCACGGCAAGGGACTCAGGCCTCCAAGGTTCTCCACACTCTGGCCGTCCCCTTTTCTGACCTCATCTCTATGCTTGGCTCCTAATAGCTGTCCACGGTGCCCTCCGGGCTCCTGGTCCGTCTTCAGCAAAATCACCCATGTCCTTATCCCCTTCTGTAGATGGTCCCTAACCCCCTGCTCTAGCAGGAACCCTGAGGTCACTACTGCCCCCCACCTTCTGTCACTGGCCTGGAGGTGGGGTAGGTGCTCTCCATGATTCTCATTGATGCTTACAGACATCCTCCTCCCTCCTTTCAAAAACTCAAGTTGGCGTGCACTCAAGTTTGTTTCTAACATCTCCCAACCCACGGATCGCTCCTTTTTTGACCATTTCTAGCTCCTGGCTTCCCGTCACTCTCTCCCTCCCGCTCCGGTTTTAATTCTTAGAGACTGTGCTATAACACACAGATGATCCAGCGCTGGGTCCCGTGACCGTGTCTTCCACTCTGCCCAAGCCACACACTCCTGTAGCCATCCTGGAAAGCTGCTCCAGCCTGCATGAGAGCCACCAATTACATGGGCTGTGGAGCCGCTGACAAGTGACTAGCCTGAAATGAGATGTGCTCTGCGTATAAAATACATAGCAGATTTCAAAAACTTAGTGTGGAAATATATATAAATTATCACTAATTTTTATACCGATTACAAGTTGAAATAACATTTCGGATGTTATTTTTTTTTTAAGATTTTATTTATTTATTTGCCAGAGATAGAGCAAGAGAGAGAGAGAGCTCACAAGCAGGAAGAGTAGCAGGCAGAGGGAGAAGCAGGCTTCCTGCTGAGCAAGGAGCCCGATGTGGGACTCGATCCCAGGACCCCGGGATCATGACCTGAGCCGAAGGCAGACGCCCAACTGACTGAGCCATCCAGGCGTCCCAACATTTCAGACGTTATTAAAATTAATCTTACTTAAGTCTTTTACTTTTTTAAATGTAGCTACTAGGAATTTTAAAGTTATATATATAGCTC